AGTTGGAGTCTCACTCTGTTGCCCAGGTTGGAGTGCAGTAGCACACAGGCTCGTAGCCACCCCAGCGTCGACCTGCTGGGCTCTGGTGGTCCTTCCGCCTCAGCCTTCTAAGTAGCTGGAACTACAGGTGTGCACTACCATGCGCAGCTAATTTTTTTGTTTATTGTAGAGACGAGGTCTCACCCGGGCTGGTCTTGAACCCATGGGCTCAGGCAATTCACTTGTCTTGGCCTCCCAAAGTGCTGGGATTACAGACTGAGGCCAAGAAACCAACTTTAAGGTTCAACAGTTGCTGGGATGCTCAGCATAAATCCTTAATACCTTTTTTACCTTAATGTAAAAACTGGAAGCCATATGATACTTGGGATCCTGTAATAGTTTTCTAGGGCTCCTATAGCAAAGTACCACAGACTGGTGGCTTAAACAACAGAAATGTATTTCCTCATAGTTCTGAAGACTAGAAGTCCAAGATCTAGGTGTCCACAGAGTTGGTTTTTTTTCCTGAGGCTTTTCTCTTTGGCTTGTAAATGGCAATCTTCTCCCTGTGTCTTCACAGGATCTTCCATCTGTGTGTCTATGGCCTAATTTCCTCCTTTTAGAAGGGCACCAATTACAAGGATTAGGGCCCACCCTAATGACCTAATTTTAATGTAATTACCTCTTTCAGGACCCTGTCACCAAATATACTCACATTCTGAGGTACTAGGGGTTAGGACTTCAACATACAAAGTTTGGAATACAATTCAACCCATAACAGACCTCTACTATCATCTTCTAGAAGTGTAGCACTAATCACACTCTCTTGCACTTGTTAATCTTGTATAGTAAGTTCTCTCCACCCTTTGATTCTCCTCCTCTGCCTCTTACAGATGTAATGGTTTGTGTAGCAAGAACTCATGAAGCAGCTCTAAAGAACTTAACAGTAGGGATGGGCAGGTCGTAACATGCACCAAACAACACAACACTTAGGGGTTATTGAAATTCCAGGTGTACTCTCTTTAAAGACACAGCTCTTTGCCTGTCCTCTGCCCAGTTTTCTTTCTTTTTTGGGGGGTTGGAGTCTCACTCCACTGCTCTCGGCCACCGCAGCCTCAACCTGCTGGGCTCCGGCAATCCTTCCACTTCAGCCTTCCGAGTAGCTGAAATTACAGGCACGTACTACCACGCCCGGCTGATTTTTGATTTATTGTAGAGATGAGGTCTCGCCAAGTTGCCCAGGCAGGTCTCAAACCCACGGGCTCAGGCAATCCACTCACCTCAGCCTCCCAAGGCGTGGGATTACAGGCTGAGCCACCGAGCTTGGCTCTGCCCAGTTTTTTTGTTTTTTTGTTTTTTTTGAGTTGGAGTCTCACTCCGTCGCCCAGACTGGAGTGCAGTGGCCTCTCCTGGCCACCGCACCGCAGCCTCGACCTACTGGGCTCCAGCGAGCCTTCCGCCTCAGCCTTCTGAGTAGCCAGAATTACAGGCACGCGCTATCATGCCCGGCTAATTTTTTTTTGATTTATTGTAAAGATGAGGTCTCGCCTGCCCAGGCGGGTCTCGAACCCGGGGGCTCAGGCAATCCACTCACCTCAGCCTCCAAAGGTGCGGGATTATGGGCTGAGCCACCAAGCCCAACTCTCTGCCCAGTTTTTGTAACATTTGATTATAGCTATTAGATTATTAGATCCTCTATACATGGTCTTGTATTATCCTAATTCACTCTTCACTTTCTTTTGCTGTAGCTCTTTCATTAGGCCTTTCCTTGGCTAGTTCTTTAGAAAGCTCAGTTATTTAAAATACTCAGGTCAAAAGCCATACATGCAAGGGCTTGCTGAAGTTTCATATAAGGACAATTTTTGAGGGTAAACCCCTGGTTTTATAGTGCTCCTAAAGCTGATAAGCAGTACCACCACTAAAAACCTTGGGGAAAGAGTTCCTATTACTTAATAGGAACTAGAAAAGGCAAAAGAAAAATAAAAGAGGCAATGCAAAGTTTTTAGTTCTTCCCAAAGTCTCACCCTTCTTGCCAACTTTGGAGAGCACACTTATGGAAAGGTAAAGCTTCCCTTTCTCAGGCCAGCCTTAGTTATTCAAGTCAAACATCTTGTTAAACCAGGAAGTCTTGCTCAATTATCTTTTTTTTAAGTTCTGAGTTTCCTACTTTTGCCCAATGATAGATATCCCAATGACATTGTAAAATACGGATCACTGTTCTGTAAAGTTCACATTTTTTCTTAATTTGTTTCCAATCCTTATTATTTTAATTAATTAATTATTTTTAGAGATAAAGTCTTGGTATGTTGCCTAGGCTGGAACGCATTGGCTATTAATACAGCTTTGAACTTCTGGCTTCAAGTGATCCACCATGACAGCCCATTGAGTAGTTGGGACTACAGGCATGCACCACAGCACCTGGTTCCCTATTATTTTGAAAATGGGTTGGTAAATTCTTGGAGAAGCCACCACCTAGTGGTATTATGAGGGCTCTTAGATGAATATTGTTCCTTGTTCATCAATCTTCCTATCTTACTGCCTCAGCTTCCGTCCAATAACTTTTTACCTGGGGTGTGTATTTCTACCCTATTCACTTTTTGCCCTCTGGCATAGAACTTCTTCCCACTTTGGCTGGGCTTGGTGGCTCAGCCTGTAATCCCAGCACTTTGGGAGGGTGAGGTGAGTGGATTGCCTGAGCCCGCGGGTTCGAGACC